CTTCCCAACTTCTTGATTTTTAAGTTAGGGTTGCCAACCTCAGAAACAACAGCGAGATCGCGGGGAGGATGCAGACAACGAAGAAAACAGCCTTGACGTAGTGTTATGAAAATATATATTTAAACTGCTGTTTTGCAGTGAGTTGCGGTGGCTCAAGTGGTTAAGACGCTGAACTGCAGGCTGTGGAAGGTCAGTTCGAGTGTGCCGCATGACGGAGTGAGCGCCCGTCTCTAGTTCCAGCTCCTGCCAACCTAGCAGTTCGAAAGCAAGAAATTGCAAGTAGATAAATAGGTACCACTTCAGTGGGAAGGGAACAGCGTTCCGTGCGCCTTGGTGTTTAGTCATGCCGGCCACATGACCACGGAAACGTCTTCGGACAGCGCTGGCTCTTCGGCTTTGAAACGGAGATGAGCACCGCAACCTTAGAGTCGGATTCGACTGGCTTTCGAGCAAGGGAACCTTTACCTTTGCAGTGAGTAGCAATGTTCCCTCTAAGCGGTGGAGTCTTGTGAACAAAAATTCTACTTTCTGAGCTACCGGCATTAAAGCTGGGAGCGAGCGATTTGGCTGCTGCATCAATCAGTTTGCTGTGGAGCCCTCCTTCCTGAGCTGAGACAAAAATGTGTGAGCCGGAGGCTAAAAAACTGTGAGTTAGCTCACACTAACTGAGCTTAGAGGGAACACTGGTGAGTAGTATTTCTTCAATAGGTGGCGGCTGGAGATCTCCCCGCTGTGCGGCTTCGTCTGCTGTGGGCTGGGGGTACAGAGCAACCCCGGAGTAGGTAGCCAGGCAGGTTCTTGGAGCGGGGCTGTTCGCGTTGGTCTCCCCCGTCTGCGCTGATGCCGCCGTTAATCCTGACCTACCCCCTCACAGCATTTTTTAACTTCTTTGCTTAATTGCTTTGGATAGAAATAAAGCCTTTCTGCCACTGGGAACCCAAAGTGGCTCCTTTCACCTTTCCTCCACTTTATCCTCACGACAACGCTGTGAGGCTGGTTAGGCTGATATAGTATCTGATTGGCCCAAGGTCACCCAGCGAACTTCTGTGGCAGAGTGGAGGAGATTCGAACTTGGGTGTCCCAGTCAGTATTCCCTCTATGTTCAGTTAGTGTGAGCTCGCTCAGAGTTTTTTGAACCTCTCACTCACACATCTTTGTCTTCGCTCAGGAAGGATGGCTCCAGAGCCAACTGATTTATACAGTAGTGTTAAATACTGGGTCTAGACACATTGCAGTGATCAGCTCTAGTTTATTCAGTGATTTCAGAACACCACAAGGACCGCTAGCAGGGCTTGACCCCTGCTTATAAAGCATACACACACCACACCCAACACACACACACACACTCCGAGTGATAGGCTATTTACAACACTTATCTATTGGTTTGTTCCAGGATCCTGGCAAGCTATTGTTCTACAGTGGCAAGCTCAACCCGATCCTGGAACAGCTTGAGGAATGGCTTAGGCTCAATACATAACAAGTAGCCAAATCGCTCGCTCACAATTTTAATGCCAGTAGCACACAAAGTAGAATTTTTGCTCACAAGACTCCACAACTTAGAGGGAGCATTGGTCCCAGTCCAGCACTTTAACCTCTGCAAGCACCACGCTGGCTCTCAGCAGGATCGTTGTAAGCATTGCTGATAGGCTGCCAGGTCCCCCCTAGCCACTGGGGGGTGGGGGAGCAGGGTTGCCAGATCCAAGGGGGGAAACTCCTGGAGATTCAGGGGTGGAGCCAAAGGAGGACCTCAGGGGGTACTGTAGACAGGGGTCGTTTCCTGCGGGAGCTCGCAGGAGCGGAGCTCTGGCAGTAAGGAGCCCAGGGGTGGGCACATGCAACAAGCCCCGCAAAACAATCCAAAACAGTCCAGTGGAGCCTGAGCGGTGGGTGTTGCCTTCTGACACACTTCCGGTGATGTCAGGGGGCGTGGCATATGCAAATATGTTATGCTGATGAGTTTTGCTAATGAGCTCCTGCACCTCTTTTTCTACGAAATGACCCCTACTCACAGCAACTTATGGAGAGGAATGTAGGTTAAGCTGAGAGAAGGACTGACTCAAGGTCACAGAAGTGGTGGGTGTTGCCTTCTGACACACTTCCGGTGACTTCAGGGGGTGTGGCATATGCAAATAAGTTATGCTAATGAGGTCCTGCACCTCTTTTTCTACGAAATGACCCGACTGTAGAGCCCACCCTCCAAAGCATTCATCATCTCCAGGGAAACTGATCTCTGTAGTCTGAAGATGAGCTTTAATTCTGAGGGATCCCCCGATCCCACCTGGAGGGTGGCATCCCGAATTGCTGACGTAACAAGACCTATTCAAATATGAAGGGGTCTTAGCACAAGGTCCCTGCCCCAAGAACCTTACAGGTGGATAGATATACATGCATCACCCACAGGAGAGCAGAGTGTGACCTAAGCAGGGAGAACCGGGTTTGATTCCTCACGCCTCCACATGCAGCTGCTGGTGTGACCTTGGGTCAGTCACAAGTTTTTTCAGCGCTGTTCTCTCAAGGACAGTTCTCAAGAGAGCTCTCTCAGCCCCACCAACCTCACAGGGTGTCTGTGGTGGGGTGGGGTAGGGAGGGGAGGGAAAAGGGATTGTAGACCGCTCTGAGACTCCTTCGGGTAGTGAAGGGCGGGGTATAAATCTCATCCTTCTTCTTGGTGCAGTAGAGTTAAATAATGAAACATCTTCATTTTGATCACTTCACTTCTCTTGCTTTCTGTAAAAGTAGGACACCAGGGAAACATAGAACATCAGTATCCCAACATAAGTCATTGCATACATTTCAGAGTTTCTCCATTGTGAATATAATCATCTTTAAACAGTTTTCATTTCTGCAGGTGATAGTCCCCAGTGTAGAGATTAAGAACATAAGAGACGCCAATGTTGGATCAGGCCAAAGGCCCATCCAGTCCAACACTCTGTGTCACACAGTGGCCAGAAATACCAGGTGCTATCAGAAGGTCCACCAGTGGGGCCAGGACATTAGAAGCCCTCCCACTGTTAACCCCCCCAC